CATGGATACACATATACCATCCAGACAGCTAATGCAAACAGCTCTTCTGTATATTTGGAGGGAAAAAAAAGAAGAAAATAAAAGAAAGAAGGAAATCTAAGTAGTTTTGCATGGAATAATAGTTTCATTACTATTAAAACAGGAATTAATTTCTTGTTTAAATTTCTTAACATATACTTGGGTACACGCTGCTTTGTTTTAGGTGAAGCAGTTTTTTAATAGTTTTTAATACATAGTTGTTATCCTGTTTCATGATGAAAACAAAAAACCTGTCAATTATGGAGTTTCCAATCGGTGAGGATTCCCAGTTCTGCTCCATACTGTCGCTGTAGAACCAGTTACAAGGTGGTAAGAGGAAGCAAACTTGTAGGTTGTACAGATAAAAGCTGAAAGACTGTCTGAGATTAAGAAAGAAAAGGTGACTCAAGTACATTTCATATATGAAAACAGGTTAAACGAATGAATCAAGAACAGGAAATGGGAACTGATCTTAAATAATTCAAATCCAAACCAGATTGGGAGCATGGTTCTGCAGGGCATGTGTACTGAGCTCAGGAAGCTGCCTAAACACACACTCAAATAAAAGTCCAGAAGGATACTGTCCTTATAAAGTACAACTATTTATTACTTTTTGCATGAAATCCACCCAGACCAGGAACCCACTACTGTAACAGCCCCAGCAGTGCCTCTCGGAGAGCTGTACTGGCTGGAGCTGTTGGCAGCTGCCCAGCCAGATGAGTGGTAACCAGGCATTGTGTAACAGAGGCATTTTTCAAGGAGTTTGCACAGCCATGGGGAGAAACAGCAGAAATCAAAACTGTCTCAATTTAATGGCACTATCTAAGATCCCAGTTATTATTGGCCAAATGCTGCTACAACTCTGGGGCATGGTGGTGGGGCTCTGCTCCCTTCTGAGAAGACAGAGGTCCTGAGAGCAGAAGCTGGCACCATGAAGCTACCATTCCCTGTTTTCCCTTAGGACAGAACTGTTTAACAACACAGCAAATAACAACTATACCATAAATGTATGGGGTTTTTAAAAAATCCTATTGAGTTTAAATCTCTCTTCCTAAGAGATTTTGGACCCATGATTTCACACACTGGTGAAAAATTAGATCTGGAAGTGCATATACCACTGAATGGAATGAAAGCCAGAGTAATTTAGGCAGATGTTCTGTGTTTTATTAAGGCCTCATGGAAGAAATTTTTTTGCAACTCTGGTCACTGCTGAGAAGACAGAGAACCTGAATGGGAAAGTCAGAGAAAGTTCCCAGTCTAGAGGCCAACAACCCCCTTTTGCAAAATTAAACAATGGAGAAAGAAAACCCAAAAAAATCAACACAGAATTAAAAGTTTTAGAATTTCCCCCTACCTACTGCAAAATTAAACTGGTCTTGAGAATGTTTTGCTGTCACTTAGGAGAGTAAAACAACAGAATTTCTCTCAGAAACAGGATATAACTTGCTTTTGTATCAATTCACCACTAACCACAAAGGCATTGCTCAAGTGACTTTTAAACCTTATCCTGACTAACCCTCCTCTCTGCATGGCAGGTGCTTTCCTTATTGGAAGATGTACTCTGTTGATGAGGCTGTCTCACCAAAGCCAGGCAACCTCAGGCTCTCCATGCTTCAGCCAGAGCTGAGGTACTCGAGGTGTGCATCCACACACCCCCGCAGGGGCTCCGGGGCCCAGAGCCAGGCACCCCAGCCCAGGCTGCAGCACCCTGCAGTGCCATGGAGGTTTCAAAGTCATTAGGGCATGGCCCTTCTAGACTGCTTTTTCCAAAGCTGGTTTAATTGCCAAAGGAGTATCTCCAGAACTCATTGTTCAGGCCATTGCAGTGATCACAAACATCAACACCCTTCATTTGGGACCTAATTATCTGTTCTCTTCAGTTTAAGTCTGACTATTAGATCACTGAAAAACAAAGATTCAAAACAAAATCACCAGGGTACAATTTACAGGAAAGATAAGTACCAGATTGACGACATAATTTCTTTTTGGCACTGAATTAGTGCAAACTTCAGCTGCAATGACAGGCAAACAAATACTCATACTAAGCTTAAGACAAGTATCCTCACCAATTTTGCATGGTTTGATGTATTAAGATCATTAAAAAATATATTGGAACACAAAGAAGCTCAAGCAAACCCAGGTTCTGTACCTCTTCCCACATGAGGCTTCTCAGTTTAGATGTGAAAATCCATCCTGGAAAAGGCTATCAGCTGAACTTCTCTCTGCATAAGCAATCCTTCTGATTAATTAATCCTGAGCAGCATTACTAACTAGAACGACAACATGGCTTAACTCAGAGACTGGTCTACTTCAAGTCAGAGCTTGCTCTGCCTTTCACTTTAAAGAGATTAGATGTTAAATTCTCTGCTGACAGAGATTGGGTGTTGTCCTACTTAGATTAGAGAGAATTATTTACCAGATTTAAGGTATCTGGGGAGATAGCAATTCAGAGTAAACAAAGCCATTCTCCTATAAAATTAAACAAGAGGTGAACGAGGGAAGAAATTGGTTAGGGTATGTATCACATAAAATTCACTAAATGAAATAAATAGCACCTTAATGAAGCAAAAACATTCAATAAACGTTTCGCCAAAGTATACTGCTGGTATAAGCCACAGCAGATAGGAGAGACAAGACAGGAGGCCTAAGGCAGCCAAACTCTGGCTTCCTAGCTGAGGCTGTCCTGGTAAGGCAGATCCTCTGGCTCTGCCCACCACACATGGGGGCTGCACCTGCCTGTCCCAAACTTGCTGAAAGGGCTGGCTGCTACTTGGGGGGCTGCTCAGCTCTGCCTTGCCAAAGCTTTTCCTGCAGGACCCAGTAAACATGCAGCTGCACAGTGAGCTCGCCCAGCTCACTGATTAGATACAAAATTAAATGACCAAAATAAACAAACTTTTTTTTTCATTTTAAAAATAAGTAGTTTTTTAACTCTCCCTGCGGTTGACTGCACAAGGTGGGGTCAGAATGCAGTGGGGAAAATGGGGGGACAGAGCACATTTCACAGCCAAGCCCCAGCCCTGGGGAGTGCATTTAGAGTAACTTACAACTGAAACTAAACCACCCACCAGTAGGAGGATGAATGGAGGCTGAGTGAAAAGCAAACCAGCAGATACTAAACAAGTGACAGAACAAACAAGGAAAACAACTAAGCCTGAGGTTTAGGACAAAGAAAAAGAGACCAGTGCCTAAACTTTTTTTCCAACATTGTAAATTAATAGCCTACACACACATGACTGACTGAACAATCCCACCCACATTCATTCTTTCCACAGTAGCAGAAGAAAGAGGAATTAATCACCTGGGGATCCATCACCTAAATTAAATGCAGGGGAGGGCAGTGGAATTCATGTGACATCAGTGAAGTCCAACATACCCTTATAAGTATTGGCAAGAATCAAGGGACACTTTAGTAATAAATGTATTCTCTTGAAATGAAGTATTGCTTAACCACATGCATTCTGCAAATATATATTTTAATATTTAGCATACAGTTGGAAAAAGGACGAAAAATTAAACTTCCCCACTCCTGCATTTAGGATTTATGCCCTAGCCACTGAGTTGTAAGATCAAACTCACCTAATGAATATTTGTGTTCTGAAAGCAAGGTGAAACTGTTTCATAAGTAAGAAGCCAGAGGCCACCAGCCCAGAATAGCAGGAAGGTTTATGGATCTAGCACTCTCTCGAGAAATGAAAGATGCAAAATCAGAACTTGATTCTTCACATGTGTCTAACAGCTATAGAAACAATCTAGAAAGAACAGGAAAGGGGGGGAGGGGGGGGGGAAGGCACAGCAATGTATTCCCTTGCATGGTTTTTAAGTAGTGCTGATTCCCTGATATGGACTTGGACTCTCCAGGAAGAACTTATCAAGGTACATCTTGCTTCTGAATGCCTGGACAGCTTGGACACCCAACTAATCACCACTGTAAAAACTAAAGGCATAAAAACATAAAGCAGCAAACCTCAATGCATTCAGCAAGTCTCACTGGGAAAAACCTGAGCCTGCACAGATCAGAGACTGAGGGTCAGGACTGCAAGGGTCCAGCTCCCAGGAGTGGGTGCTCACAGGATCTTTTAGATGGGAAGGCAACTGTAGGACATCCTGAGATCTTGTTATTTTCCTGCACAATTACAGCAGACTGACTGGAAGCGTGCATTGTAGGAACAGTCACAATACCGACCTTTTCGTTCTTATCTAGAGAAATCAAATCCCCATCAAAGGAGAGTTAGTTACAAGACCAGCTTAATTAATGATGGTATTTACTTCAGATTGCTGTTTAACAACCAGAGTGATCCAAAACACCCAGGAATCCAGCTTCATGGTATGGATTCAACAACTGTGAAACTTGAAACAGCTTACAATTATACCTGCTACTTTAGCAGTGCTCTTGGATACAGAAGGACATAACTTCAGAAAATATGTGTTTTCTGATGCTAATTTCATCCCACGCAGAGGGAAACTGTCTAGCTATATTCACAACTTCCTTTGGAGTTTTGGCTAAAACACATCTCTAATTACTTGAAGTGTAGATGAAGATGATCTAATTAGCTATTGCTGGCCTGTGCCAACACTCAGCTGCTAATTCACACAAAATAGTTGAATTTCAGAAGGCCATTTTCACACAGCAATACCACGAAACTCTTCTAAGTACAACTGAACCTCGGACCTAATTTGTATGAAGATTCAATTCCCCAGCAGTCCAAAATAGTTACTACTTTCCTACCTGCCTACATCTCCCAAAGTCGATGGGAATCGCAGAGACTCGGCCGCGTCCGTCGGGGCAGCTCTCGCTGCCGGCACCTCCCCGGCCCCGCTGCCCGGCCCGGTACCCGCCGGGACGCCGCTGCCCGCCGGAGCCGCCGCCGGTTCCGCCCGCCCCGCCCGGCGCTGCCGCCGCCGGTTCCGCCAGGTGCTCCCGCAGCGCTCACTCACACCGCCCGGGGGAGTTCCCGGCCGCTCGGGACTCACCGCCTCACCTGAGCTGCTCGCTGCGGCGAGCTTGCCTCCAAATGGCTGAAGTAACTCTTCTTTGGCTCTTGCTGGACCGTGACACCTGCAAATCGGTCCGGAGCTGCCCCTCGCTTTGCTAGAAGCACAAGCAGGCTTCTGTTTTAGAGAGAAAAAGCGATTTTTTAATGGTTTACAATGTTCTTAGAAAACGGCATGTCCAGTTGGAATATGGATTCGTGTTAGGCTTCCCATGGACGCGCGAGAAAAGCGTGCAGTGCGCTGGAGTGCATAGTTCATAGGGTAATTTAGGGACCGCACACAGTTGATTGGTGCAGAATTTTCAGCAGGAAGTTCTGGTTTGGAAATTTCTTTGCAGGAAGGAAAAGTTCTGTAAGCCTCAAGGTGGTTTCTCCTTGATTCTAGTTTTTGGTAACTGGAAGTGCTACAATACCCAGGAGGCAAATATGAGGAAAAGGTAGGGCTGGATTAGTAGGGAAAAGTGTGTATTTCCCCAAAGAAATGCTGCTTACATTCTGAGAGCATTTAAATTTCCAGTCACTGAAGTTTTGCGCAGTTGTCCTAATAGGTCTTTGATTTATTGGCTTCCCCATTCACCAAGACTGTATTTTTTCCCTTTTACAATATTTTTCATTTTAAATTTAGTAATGCCACAGATCTGCTGCTAACTAAAAATTTCATGCCTGTCATCATGCAGTGTAACACAGCTACTTCAAGCTCCAGAGCCACTGTAAGGGTCAAAGACCCTGAGCCAAAAGCACAGACTTACACATTTTGAGCTGACAAAGCATCTCTGTTCATCTCTGCCCAGAGCCAGTTGCAAGTACTGGTATCACATGGCAGAGAAGCTCCTGCTAATGGAACTCATGAGATTATGCACAGTCGCTGTTTTAAAGGAATACCAGTAACCTGGTACACTTCCAGAATTATCTGAGTCCTCCTGAGGTGCACGTTAATCACACATTTCAAGGCATCTCACTGGATTAATTTACACGACCAAACAGCTTTATTTCACTGTTCACAGAAGTGTGTTGTTTAACTACTGATAGCCTGTATGCAGCTTGCTGCTATCAAGTTACCTCGGCATTGCCATGCTAAAAGGTTTTTCAGGCTCTCAGCGACTTCCAGTCCTGCCTAAACGGCTCTCCAGCTGCTGGAGTTGCAGTGCAGTAGCAGCCGTCCCCTGGGACTGCAGGTTGCCTCTCTGATGAAGGAAAAGACATTTAAACCGGTATTTTTGACAGGGCAGTTAGAGGAAAAAAACAGTTTGCAATATGACCTTTCTTCTTGATCCGGGCAAGGCTGTGCCCTGTAATTTGAGAGGGCCTATTAACACATCTCTGCGGCTCTTTTGATGGTTTGGGACACCTTTCAGTCTTTTCAGCTGCTTGAAAATTGGGAGTTTTGTTTCAATAAGCAAAGAATTCAGCTGTGCATGGTAAGGGATGTGGACAATCTGATCTTGTGTGGATGGGGAGAGCATTACTGTCCTGTGATGTTTGTAGCTGGGATGGGAGACAAACCTCCCCCCTTCCTTGAAAGATTTTTGTTGCAAACAAACCTAGTCGAAAGATCAGCAGTGAAACCAATTTACCTCTTTTCTTGTCAGCTGCAAATATGATCTTCCTTCCCCGCCAGCCTCCTGGCAGCACCCAGAGTGCTCCGTGCTCTGTTGTATCTCTCTGTAACTAAACCTTGCTTCAGAAAGCTGGTGATCTTCCCTTGCCTCACTGACTCCTGCTGTTGGCTCCCCTCCCCTCTGGTGACCATTCCAGACCTGTCATTGCATCCACTCATCCTCACTCATTCCTGGTTCTCTGCAGCTGCTCTTGTACCTTATGCTGCCTCCACTCCAGGCACCCCAGTACTCAGAGCAAGCTAATAAACTGGGCTGCTTTTGGCTGCCTCTGCCAAACCACAGCACTCTCAGCTCCAGAATTGCAGGGCTGAAATACTTAAGCAGACCCATGCAGGGCCAATAGAAGAGAATTTATTAGTCTGGGCTATGCTTCACCTCTCATATTCCCCAGTGAAGCCTGTCTCATCTGTTTTGAACCTCTGCACCACAGACTTTTTCACTTGCTGCTGAGCCTGTTTATGCTATTGGATTACAACTTCCCAGTATTTTTCTTGCTGAAAGAAAAGTAGCCAGAAGACTATAGAAAGCAGCTACAAGCAGGAGTCTATATTATCATCTCTGGGCCTCAAGCCTTTAGAACTGGACCCAAAGTAATAAAAACCCCATGTATAAAAACTGACACAAATCTTGAGTAATTATTTACATCTGCAAACACTTTCAAACAGATTAAGACCCTTTTTCTTCACTCTCTGCAAATGCTCCAGCGAACAAAGTTTTCAGCAGGAATGCTGATGGAGGCTGCAGCTTTGTATAAATTCAGACAGAATTATCCCACGTGATCCTTTGCATCAGAAACCTGATCCCACCACCTGTGCACACTTACTGACATGCCAATTTCCATGTTAAAAATCAAGAAGATCAGAGGTTGAATCAATGTTTGCACAGAGTACACTGAAATCTTTTAAGCACAAAAGTGGAAAATAAAATTGCTTAGAAGTTCTTGACTAGTTTATGAAGAATTACATGAAATTAAGCAGCTGATGATTCCAAATAGCTTTCCCAGCTCTCTCCCAGCTGAGAATCCTTCAGAGCAAGCAAGCATTTAACACTACTACTTATGAAATATTTTAGTTTCAGAAACTAACATCAAGTGATGTACTTATGATCAGAGTTAAATTCCAGTGTATATTACAATAGCCAAGTGATGAGCTCAGCCATCAGGACCTAAAAGCAGGGTGTTATCAGGACAAGTCTAGCACACAGCCTACAACACCTCATAGCCAAACTCCGTGTGTAACCACTAAATTAAGTTTTCTGAGGCACAGACCTTTTGAGAGAAAAAAAGTATTTCGCAACTTAGATTTCAGTGAAATAGCAGAGTAGTTTTCAGCTAAAGTCTCTAAGAACTTAATACACCTTAGTTACAAACAACTTCTGCAGCCAGAGGATTTTACTACCATTAAAGTTTTTTCAGCAGTAATCTTTGTCCCCTGAGGGTTTTTGGGAGAAACATGAAACTGTTTCCTCATCCTCCTTGTCCTGCTCTCAGCTGGAGCCTGTTTTTCTTCCATTCCCATCATAACCTTTGGGTTTAGCTGACACCTTCCCTCCTCTGCCACAGATGATGGGTGTGGTCCACACACTTCATTATAGAAAGCTGCTATAATTCAGTCCGTGACTATTATTTTTTATTTTCTCCTTTTATCAAATGCATGTTTAACCTCACACTTTCTTAACATTACCTGCTGTAATTCTGTCCACTGAGACTGCAGCCAGTTGCCTTCTCCCACAGAGCTGCAGAAGAACAGCTTTATTGCACAATGTCCTGTACCATTTGAAAAGGTTGATACAATGCCTAGACAAGCAATTACATGGAGATACTCTGCTGTTCAAATTAGACACTCTCTTTATCTCATTCAGATTTGATGTACTATGAATTTGAAAATAGATTTTCCGGCTCATTATGTTTTGCCTTATGCTGTAAGGCAGATATTTGCACACACACACCATTAGTACATTCTGATAATAAATCCAAGGAGGGCTCATCCTTTGTGCACCAGAACACTTTGGTCCCGTCTCTCCACAGCCAGTCGCACATCTGTGTGAGGTGCAGCAGTTGCTTCTGCACTACACAGTGGCCTTTAACATTGTCAGTGGCTGCTAGCCCCAAACTGTCCAAAGGTGGGGAAAGATTCCAGGGTGGATAATCACTGAGGCACAAGGGTGCTGCTCTGGGTAGGCCACCAGCTTCAGCCCAGAGTGATGAACAGAAGTGACTGTGGGTGCCGGAGCAAATGGTTCTATTTTCTCCTCAGGAGGCATTTATTTCTGCTGGTGATGTCTAGGGATCCAAAATGATGAATCCAATAAACTCAGGAGGGGTTATAAACCTTTATGAGTAGTTGAAAAAAGTAAGTAACAGAGCCAAGGCATGCTCCTTGCAGTGTTCTCTAATCTTATCCTTTTCTTGCCTGACTTAATTAAGAGTCAGATGCTCTTAATCTGGCACAGGTTTGGGAGGACATTGTCGCACCTACTGAAAAAAGACAAGACTAAATGTTATCAACATACTGACATCCACAGTTATTTTCTATAGGTCTTATACCTGGAAGATTGTGGATAGGTGGTTCTAGTCCAGCTTTAAAATGAACTTGCTACATTAAAAAACAGTTGGCATATCGAATGTATCATTTAGATCCAAACAATTCCAGTAGTTTCCTCATTGATTTGATGCTGAAAAACAATATTTTTATACAGTCTGCAGTTTAAAAATTAAATTTTTCAGGGTTCCGGATAAAAGAGAAAGTTAGAACCTTATCTGCCACTGATTTCAGGAAAGATGCAAAAGATGAATTACCTTAAATGTTACTGTCTACCTTTCGGTGCAATAGTTGGACTTAGTTCAATAACAGGGTTTCAGACTGTTACCAAACCTTCATTGTTAAGGGAAAAAAACCCCTACAACAAAACAGGAAAGACCTGTTTCAGGAAAGGCTCTTGTATCACTGAAAAAGGGCCCATGGAACACCTGACTCTGAAATATGCTTATTTATTATAAATAATTTCCATGGCGTCACATTAACAAACATAAAAGGTCACGAACTCCTGTATTTGAAGAAAATGTGTTTGACATCTGGGATCTGGCAGAAGTTCCTCCTATGGGATAGATTGTTTGCGCAGAGCTTTATTGAAGAGTAATATTAAGAATGAATTACGAAATATTAGTGTAACCTAGTAAGAAATTATTGTATTTTACAAGCCAGAGACATAAGAGATCTTACAGAAGTATTTCAGTTACATCTGATGTAAAAGCACATCAAGGGATGCTAGCTGTGACCGGCTAGCAGTGCAAATCTGTGGGGCTTAAGCACTGTGGTTAGAAATGGACTGAAGGGAGAAGTCCAAATGCAGGCAATGGCTTAAATGTTTGTCTGTGTTTTTGTACAGCCCTGCTCTGTGAAGGGAGTGGGGAGGGAATTGGCAGCGAGCCTCAGTAGCTGGGGACGCTGAGGGCTGAGTGGGAAGCCAGCCTGTGCAGCCCCAGGCAGCGAGCTGGGCAGCACCCCCAGCCCAAGGCATCAGACACTGCCTGGGGCTGGGGCTGGCAGGGACATCAGGGCTGTGGGGAGCTGGACACTGTCACTCCTACACTTTATCCTCTCTCCCCTCTCTTACCCGTGC